TCAGGATGTATACGAGAGAATCCTGTGAGGCAAGAAGCATAGCAACAGAAAAGGAAGTTTGCAGAAGACGACGAAAGAGGAAGCTTACTTCGCTATGCTTCCAAAAAACGAAGATTTACGCACATACAATAAAAAACGCAAAAAATTAAGTTAATAAGCTCAAGAAAAGTGAAAGTTCGGGGGGATAACACAAAATGCATTTAAAAGTGAGACTGAGTTATTAGGAAAAATTAAGAAATAAGCCCCCACAACAGATTCCCTTTTATTGTTTGTAAAAAACATTAAAAAAAACCTCTTCCGGATCGGTTCCCGTTAATTTCTCGCCAAACAGAGTGAGAAACATCGTGAAATTAATTGGTCCCGGTGCTTCATTGATCATTTTTTCCAGAAATTCCTCGGTGACTTCTTTTCCTAAAAACAGCTGACTTTTGCATATACCTAAAGAATACAGCTAAAGGTTGAAAAATTTGAAAAAATTTCAAAAACGATACTTCTTTTAAAAATTTGCAACGTAGTAATAAGCAACGGTACAGACCAAGTGATGCGAACATATCCTGCAAATCCTGCACATCGATGAAGCCATCGCGATTCTGATCGATCATATTGAAGGCTTCTTTGAATTCCTGAAAATTCCTGTTCCAAAAGCATGTACGGCATCTCTTTGAAGGCGAGTCGGATGGTCATCACGATCGAAAACAACTTCTTCGAAATGGTCAGAGCGCCTCTTCCAAAAAAACTTTTCCCCGGGACAGTGCTCCGGGATTTCCCGCATTTCCAGCTAGCGCACTGCAACTGCAGGCGCAAGAGATCGACAGAAAAGCTGTGTTGCAAAATGAAGGGCGCCGTTGCGAAGGTAAATCTTAAACGGCTGGTTTTCAGTAAGAATCCACGGCTCACCTGTATTTGTGCCTGGTCGAACATTGCGAACACATTGCTCGTTGCACGTTGTGGACGTGGCCGGCGATTCAGCGTTTTCCTGGATGCCATTTCGTACGCAACTCCCCGGATTTACAGGATAACGCAGCACTGAAAAAAGGAGCAATCACGGGGACTATTTCTGCTCCCCAAGCTCTTGAGCGCTTCTCGCACAGAAATCGAATGCATTCGCTCTCCCTCAAAAACACAATCCCCGGAAGTGACACTTCCAAAAAAAACCCCTTAACCTCTCGGATATTCTCTAACATCCATTCGAGAAGTGAAGGC